GTCCCATTTACCTTTTTATGTCTCTCCTTCTGTTGAGTTCTGGTCTTTTTATCAGGAAGGTTTGGAAGTCCCCTATTTTGTTGAATATCCATCTCCTGCCCGGAAAGATCATGCTCATTTTCGATGGTCCCACGAATTCTTATTTTTCCTACCAGACAACAAGACATGACAGTCCCTTCTATTGGTGGTTCCATCATCCTGACACGTTACATTTCAGGTGAAGAATGAGATGATCAGAGCTTAACATATTTCTCTGCAGAGCTCAGGGAAGGTCCTCTATATTCTTTCACTGCACTGGCTTTATGAGAAGAGAACATTTGCTTCACCTTGCTTCAAAACTGAATGTGAAAAGATTTCCCATTATTCAGCAAGTCTCTACTTCCTTGAATTCAAATGTAGCTAATCTGATTACTTAAGAATCCCATCTTTTCTTGTTGAACTTCTATTATTTTATCTTCTTGGCAGTTAGTTCACACACACACTACAAATTATGTCTTGTCTTTTCCATATTCTTAATGAGTTATTTCAGTTTGTCCCCTTGATTAATCACAAAATACAAATGAATAGGTAACAAAATCTGCCTTCTAAAACTTATTAAATTCTCCAGTGTCTTAATTTCATGAGCAATAATGGTCTTCCATACCTACTCTTTTTTATTTAAAATTAGAAATTTAACAAGGATCAGGAGACATGAAATTTCCATATACAAAGAACAGAAAGGGGTTTATATACATTAAGCTGTTCCTGTGTGACCATTTTATGGAGAATTCTGGGAGAAAGGTGCCAGAAAGGAATGCCTGAGGAAGCAGGTTCAAAGTTTTTATGGCATCTTCCATCTTGAACACCATGGATGAGACACTAAGTGGTGCTCAGATATTTTTGTGCCCTGTAGATCTTTTCCTCTGATATTTTTCCACCTGAATTTCCCACAGTGTCTCAGTTCCATAATATCGGTGCTCGTAGATTCTAAGGCAGCATTCGTAAGTCATTATAGAATGTAAGTTATTTATTTGTAGCTTGAAACACATTTTCCTTTGGTTGGAGGCATCATAAATGGTAGCTGGAATCCTGGGACAGCCTACAAAAGCTAAATTAGTGCATCCAAAATAGAAGCTAATTATGAGAAGTGCTACTTCAGCTACGCCATTTTTCTAACATTGTTTCTCTAGAGAAAATGCCTTCTTACAACTATGAAAGTCAGGATCCCATCTCTGAAGGCTCCTCTGATAGCCAGAGTACAGCAGGTGATTTTTATAGGAGACAAATACATAATGGGCATCCATAACTTGCTAACTGGAACACTGCTGCGTTTGCATAGATCTTTCACTTCTCATCTGTTCTGAATTGGGAAACAAAGGTCAGTTTAGAGCAAGGAGGGGAATGGTTCAGAGGAAGCTGGACTTCCTCTGCCTGGTATTTATATGCAAGTTGTTCCTAAGTTAAGGACTACCTATCATGAATTCTGGCTCAAAATTTGCCCCTTTGGTCACTATAGAATTTTCTTTCATGTTCTTCATAACTAATAACAGTTTCTCACAAGGGAGTGGCTTAATTGGTTTCAACTCCTGTTCTGCCACTTATGTCTTGAACCTGGGCAACTTACTCTCAGTGTGTTTATCTGCAAAATGAAGGGGAAGGGTCAAGGTAGTGGTACATGCCTGTAAATCCTAGCTATAAGTGATGCTGAGACTGGAATATCCCTTAAGCTCTGCTGAAGAGACATGAGTTGCAGTGAGCTAATTCAATTGGGCTTCTACATGGTGGTTTAGTATAAACAGAGTGAGCTAGAAGGGAGAAGCATAGGAGAGGGTAGGGTGGTAGGTTGCTAAGGAGGGAGGAGTCAGCCCAGCTTGGAAAATGGAACAGAACAAGGCTCCTGTGATGGGATCAGGCCCACAAGTTATCTCTCTTTTCATTTTAGGCAAAATAGAGGGAGGTCAATCTATAAAAATAAACAAACAAACAAATGAATCTTTTTAAAATGAGAAAGCAGGGAGCAGCTAGGTGGTGCAGTGGATAGAGCTCTAGCCTTGAAGTCAGAAGGACCTGAGTTCAAATCCAGTCTCAGACACATGTCACTAACTGTGTGACCCTAGGCAAGTCACTTAACCCCTACTGCCTCACCAAAGAAAAAAAAAACAAAAACAATAAAATAAAACAAAAAAGTAGGACCAGAGGATATTTAAGATAATCACCAGTTCTAACATTGAGCTACTCTTTTCTGTTTGGTCTCTGAATGAACATATTTGAACACATAAGTAATCAATTAGCCACCAATATTTTTAACATAAGTTGAATCAGTTTCAAAAATCAGGAAGACTACATAAAACAGAAAATATAGCAAATGGGCCAAAGACGATCATGGAGTCACCAGCTATTTCCTTGGCCAGTCTTTGGATTTAATGTTCAGTTTTAGCACAGTTTTATTCTATTGTTTGTATAATTTTACGATTAAAAATGCTAACTCATCAAATCTAAACTCTGCTATATTCCAAAGTGACCTATGTCATCCCTGAGTCCCTTCTAAAAATCTAATTCTTTAGGCATAAAGCATTGCTGGTTCCTCCTTTTCCTCAGCAGAGAGGAAGAGGATGCCTTCTTAAAAATAAAATTTTAAAAATGTCTCATTGTCAGTTAAAGCTTGTCACCTAGGTCTCATAGGGGAGCTCAAGTTTCTTCATTCTTTTTCCTCATAGTGAATTTATAATCTTGCTTCAACTGTTATTACCTAAACCATATATTTATTGTTCATTTGATTTTTTTCTAATCAAGAGTGTTTATGGCTGGTTCAAAATAATTCTTATTCCATAACTGGTAAATCTTTATATACCTATATCTATCTATAGGCATTAATATATGTATATATACATATACATACACATATATATACACACACATACATTTCTCTATATACATATATATGGCTAGCATTAGTATAATATTTTGTAACTATTATTTTATCCTCACAACAACCCTAGGAGGTAAGTGTTAGTGTTATCCTCATGTTACAGATGAGGAAATTGAGGCTTATAGAGTCTAAGTGACTTGCTCAGAGTCACACAGCTAGAAAGTGTCTGAGGCTGGATTTGAATTGAGGTCTTCTCATGGCTAGGCCTTCTACATTTGTCCTTCATGGTCCTAGGGCATCCTGAGGAGTTTGGGGGTGTATGTCTCTTCTTCTACTGCCATCATCTCAAGCCCCTCACTACCAGTCATATCCCCCCATTTAGTTAAGGGCCCAGTGACTAGTACCCCCAATTCCATTTAAACACTTAACATTGGATTGGCTTTTACAAAGGGACATTTACTTCAAAGATACGGCAAGTACAAAAGTACAAACATTTCTCCCAACACATCTCAGATATATTCTCCTCTACTCCAAACTTGGTCCCCCTAAATTCACATGCAGATTTGGCATGCCTGCCAGACAAGCCTATGCCTTAGCTGTCACTGGGCTGAGATCCTGGAGGTCACTACTAAAAGTTACTCCTTGCTTTTCAGAGCATCAATGCTACTCTGGCTGTGAAAACCATATTCCAGAATGACAGGAGGTACCATTCTCCATATACCTAAGGACACTGATGTTACATTGGCCACAAACCTGAGCTCTGGAATGGTGAGATGCCAAGGAGCGCTCCTGACCTTGCAAACTCACAAAGTCATTGACTATTCCCTTCACCAGTTTCCAAGCTCCCCCAAGAGCTTCAAGACAAAGAGATACTAGCTGAAGCTGATGGGCTTATTTTGAATGCCTCTGTAGCCAAGCAGAAGTCTCTTCTCCGATATATGTTTAACCAATTGGAATCATTTAAAGAATGTCTACACATAGCTCCACAGTCTGTCTCTCCAAGGCCCCTTTCATAACATCTCAATTCTTCTGGAAGCAGCTCCCCAGTATCCTCCACTTGGAGACATACTATCTTCTCTCTAGTATCTTCCTTGTGGAGACACCATCTGAGACACTCTGGGAATCACCAAACCCCATCTCTCTCTCTCTCTCTCTCTCTCTCTCTCTCTCTCTCTCACACACACACACACACACACACACACACTGAACACTTGTTGGTAAACCTTTTTCAAGTTGGGGCTTTAGGATGACATTTTGTAACACTTTACTATTCATAGCTAAAAGGACTAAGGAGGATGCTTAAGAGAAAAGAAATAAACTCATAATTCAGATTATTTATGTGAATAAACAGTACATTTATAAGTTTAAATAAATCCATAAGCAAAAAAAAATCTTTATACAAATATCTAAATGATAATCTGTAAGTAATAGTTATAGTGTGGGGGCTTAAGGATAAAAGTACATTGAGAGCCTTCAGTTCTACTCTGCCTCTTAGTGACATCTTAAGAGTCGCTATTAAGATATCAAAGCTCACTCTCCTCAGGTTTGAAGGTTAGAGGTCATCTCCTATACAGCTCCAGGAGCAGGCCACTTCAGGCCACAAAGATCTCTCCTAGAGACAGCAAAAATATTTGGTTACATTAGAGGTGTTCATATGGGTTGATGATCTCAAATGTGTTTCCCATCGTCGAAGGTCTTTAAGCAGAACCAGAGATAGCAATGAAAGGCCGAAGTGAAGCATGCCTATAGGTAAGAATTTTTTTTTAATTGATGGAATCTCAGATGTAGTTATAGGGTATTTGGAATGTAAGTGATTGGAGAATATTGGAGGAACTCATGGCCTCAAATGGGTCAGTCGTGCCTAAAGGATTTCCTTCAAAGGACCTTGAGAAGGAGAAATAAGTAGGAGGAAAATTAGAAGAGAATAGTGTCTTGAAACCCTAGAGAAAAGAGAATATGGAGAAAAGGGTAATTGTCAGAGCCAAAGGCTACAGGAAGAGGTCAAGAAGGATGAGGATTGAAGGCCATTAGATTTGGCAACTAAAAGATCACTGGTAATTGGAGAAAGTAGTTTCAATTGAATAATGAGGTCAGAAGCTTGACTGTAGAGAGTGAAAGAGGAGGAAGTGGAAACATCTATTGTAGGAAGGCATTATCAAGAAGTCTGGCATCAAAATGGAGGAGAGATATAGTACAATAGTCAGGGATGCATCGATCAGGTAAGGGTTTTTGGAGGATGGGGAAGACATTAGGCATGTCTAATCAGTTGTAGAGAAGCAGCCAGTAGACAGGGGAGATTAAAGATTTAGTGAGAATGGGGATGATAAAGGGGCCAATGGGCTAGAGAAGATGGAAAGGAATGGGGTCACTTGTGCATGCAGAAGGGTTTTGCCTTATGTGTGATAGGGGTAAATATGAGATGAGGAGAAGGGGAGAAGAGGTAAGTCTCAGGGTCAGGGCATGGTCTCAAATTTTTCAGTCAAATATGAGGCAAGGTTCTTAGCTGAGGAAGGCGAGCCATGGAAAGTTTGAGGAGGGATGAAAAACTTGAAGGAGCCACTGTGAGTTAATTAGACAGGTATAAAAGGATTGCCTTACAACAGTAAGGACCTCTGGCAAATTACTTAACTACAGTTTTCTCATTTGTTAAAGTTGGGTTGGCCAAAATGGCCTCTGAGGCCCCTTTCAGCACCAAATATATGATACTATGCAAAGTGCTTTGCAATAGAATTGTCAGTAGTAATTATTTTTATGATCATAATCATCCAAGCACGGCATTGTCAGCGTAGGGGTTATCCTTAGCTAAGCAGTAGCCTCCCTCAGAAATCCAGGGCTCTCAGCAAGCAGTACCTCAAAACCAGGGGAGCTAGAAATCCCTAGGCTGGCCTTTAGACTGGCCGACATTCTATCAGGGAAGATAACATGTAATAACATATTAGAAAAGATAATATACAAGAAACACACAAGCAGACAGGAGGTAACCTTGAAAAGGGAAGGCACCGCTCGTGGATCAGGAAGCCCTGCAGAAGGTAGCCCTTGAGCTGTGACTTCAGCAAAGTCAGGGATTCTGCCGGGTGGGAGATGCGGCCGGCCGGACCGCCTTCCAGGGACAGCCAGCAGCCCGTGAGGAATCGTATCTAAGCCCAGCGTGGCTGGACCACGGCATCACAGTCCTCCTTGCCCCTCCCTCAGCAGGTCCTTTACCTACAAAAGGGCTCATTTGGTTTCTCTTCTTTTCTTTCAGTCTCCAGCGGGCTAACACATCGGTGGAGGAAAAGGAGGCAGAAACAGGAACACTCACGGCTTGGGGGCGGACACATTAAGAATCAAACCCTATTGTACTTGCTCTTCCAATTCTCTTCAATCCTGCTTGGGGGGTCCTGTTAGAACTTCAGTCATGGAGGTTCACATAGCGGCTGCAGCCGTAGCATTTGTAAAGCGTGGCTCGCCGCCCCCTGTTGAGTCCTCTACAAAGCCAATTCCTTCATCGGACAGCGCAATTAAATGCCTCCCCGAGGGGCTGCAGGTGTGCATTGTGGGTGCTGGAAACTGGTAAGTAATAGCTCAGCTGGAAATGTTGGGAAGGAGAGGGCTGCCAGTTCTGGAAATCCTTGATTCCTTGATCAACGTGTGTTTTGCAGAGATTGGGACAATTGTACTTGCCCTAGGCTTTGAGGTGTCCCTGGTGTGGGGCTTTTGTTTTCTCATAAGCTCCACGTTTGCACAAGCATCCTATTTCTCATTTTGCCTACACTCCTCAAGGTTATTAATGGTTGTCAAATGTTTACCAACCAATTCTCTGGGGGAAAAAATGTATGTAAGACACATTTTAAAGTTTAATCTGCATTGTTAACATCTTTTCCATCACTTTCTTAAAGAAAACAATAAATCAAATCTTGATTTTGTAGCATTTGCCAATTTCTAAGATATAAATGCTCACACTGAAAATTGAGTGGTAAAAGCTGCCTCTGACTCTATCTAGCACAACCCCTGGTTATGAGTAGGCTAAGCTAAGTTCTGGAACTAGGGGTAGACAAAGGTAGGCTCCTTTCTATACCAGTGACCCTTTTTAGAAAGGCACACATGTTTGATGCCAAAATATTCTTTCTTCCATAGCATGAGGTACTTCATTTTGGGGTCACATGCTTTCTAATGACATCTTTAATCTCCAGTATACTGTATTCATTTGTTCATTAAATTGACATTTATCAAACCAACATCCTTTCTAAAAAATATTGTTTTATTTTATTTTTTGTTCCATTTTAAGTTCTGAACTGTCTTCATCCTTCCCTCCCTATCCCACACTAGAGAAGGCCATCATTTCACCCATCCACCCACCCCACACACATGTATATATGTATATGGATATATACATATATGTGCATACTGTGCATACCATATTGTGCACACTCCTATTTATCAGTTCTTTCTCTGGAGGTGGAAAGCATTTTCCTTCATAGTCCTTTGTAGTTGATTTGAATATTTATAATACACAGAATAGCTTAGTCATTCACAGTTATTCTTCAAACAATATTTCTGCTACTGTATACATTCTCTTGGTTCTGCTCATTTCACTCTTCATTATGTCATGCAAGTCTTTCCATATTTTTCTAAATCAACCTGCTCATCATTTCTTAAAGCACAGTGGTATTCCATCATAATCACATATCACAACTTGTTTAGTCATTTCCCAGTTGATCCCCTCAATTTCCAGTTCTTTTTTAAAAAAATTTTTTTTAAATTTCCAATTCTTTGCCACCAGAAAGAGAGCTATTATAAATATTTTAGAACATATCAGTTATTTTCCTTTTTCCCTGATTCCCTTGGGAAACAGACCTAATAGTGGTATTATTAGGTCAAAGGGTAAACACAATTTTATAACTCTTTGGGCATAATTCTAGTTTGCCCTCCAAAATGGTTGGATCAGTTCATAGTTCTACCAACAGTGCCTAAGTGACACAATTTTTCCGTAACCCCTCTAACATTTGTCATTTCTCCCTTCTATTATTTTAGCCAATCTGATAGGTATGCAATGATGTCTTAAGGTTGTTTTAATTTGAATTCTCTAATCAATAATTATTTAGAACATTTTTTCGTATGACTATAGCTTTGATTTTTTTCATCCAAAAACTGTCTGTGTTGGGCAGAGCCAAGATGGCAGAGAAAAGGCAGGGACTCCTCTGAGCTCTCCCTCAACCCTTCAAAATAACTTTAAATAATGCCTCAAAACAATTTCTGGAGAGGCAGAACCCACAAAAGGACAGAGTGAAACAATTTTCCAGCCTAAGACAACTTAGAAGGTTGGCAGGAAAAGTCTACTGCACCAGGGTAAGAGTGGAGCATAGGTTGTACCCCAGCAAATCAGCAGTAGGCCTTGGGGTGGGGAGGGGTGTGACTGAATCACTGGCAGCAATGGTGGTTTCCAGACCTCTCAACATACAGACAACTCCTGGGATGTCAGCCTGGGTGACTGAGAGAACAGTGGTGCCCTTGAAAGTAAAAAGGGAAATTAGAAAGAAATAAGGGCTTGGGGAAAAAGATAATGGGTTCTGTTGTGGACACATTGAATATAAGATGCATATAGGACATTAGATTCTAGATCTAAAGCAGACCCCTTGGGTGTGGCTTTTTGACTGAGTCCATGTTTTCCAGAATAAATCCTTTTATTAAGGGGATTTGTTCCGTGAAGTTTGGATTCAGTCACTTGAGGACCTAGAGGGCCACATGTCGCCTCAAGGCCTAATGTTCCCTACCTTTGCATTAGACTGTGAATAGGGAAATGATATGGTCACACCTACACTTAAGGAAAATCATTTGGGCAACAGTATAGAAGACAGATAATAAATAATAATAATAGCTAACATTTTACATAGTATTTTGGAGAAGGAAATGGCAAACTGCCCCAGTGTCTTTGCCAAGAAAACCCTAAATGGGGTCACAAAGAGTTGGACGTGACTGAAATAACTAAACAACATAAAGTGTTTACTATGTGTCAAACACTATTCTAAGCGCTTTACAATTATTATCTCATTTGATCTCCATGACAACCCTTGGAGGTAGGTGCTATCACCCCCATTTTACAGATGAGGAAACTGAGATTAAGTGATTTGCCCAAGGTCACACACCTGAGGCCACATTTGAACTCAGGTCTTTCTGATTCCAGATCAACACTCTATCCATTTGTACCACCTAGCTGTCCCAGCAGGATTGGAGCTAGGAGAGACTTGAAGCAAGGAGATCAATTATTAGATCATTTCACTAGTTTAGGAAAGAGGTGATGAGGGCCTGAACTAAAGTAGTGACTGTGTGAAAACATTCTCTATTTAATAAATGTCTTTTGATTTTGATGGAAGTCCTTCCTAGGAAATATGTATACCACATAGCCATGCTACCTTATTCTTGATATGGTAGGTACTTCTTGGGGGTGGTGGGACTTTGGTGATTTCTTATATTCTTAACAGGACAGCTAATCCACAACAAATTAGCCATTGACTGAGCTCATCCTCTCACCTCTAAGATAGCCTTTAATTCTGTGAGACTCACTCACTTCTCTCCTCTTTTGAAGGGGAACCACCATTGCAAGAATCATTGGCAGCAATGTCATGAATTCTAAAACATTTGACAACAAAGTGAAACTCTGGGTATTTGAAGAGATAGTTGATGGAAGGAAACTGTCAGATATCATCAATGAGGAACATGAGAATAAGAAGTACTTGCCAGGATACAAGTTAACTCCTAACGTGGTAAGCAAGATGACCACATCCCCCCACAAGCTCTGAGAGAAACTAGAACTTGAAACCTCATTTAGGGATCTTGAGTGTTTGTAGACAGATCGAGTTCCCATTAGGAAGGAAGGAAACAAGTGTTTATTACGCACATACTATTTATTAGGCACTATGCTAAGCGCTTTACAAATATTTAATCCCTACAACAACTCTTGAAGGCAGAAACTATTATTACTTTCATTTTACAGTTGAGGAAACTGAGGCAAAGAGATACTAAGTGACTTGCCCAGGCTCACCCAACTAGTAAATGTCTCAGGCTGGATTTGAACTCAGGTCATCCTGATTCCAGGCCCAGATCTCTATCCAATGAGCCACCTGACTGCCATTACCATAGGTCCAAGTATATGTGTACACCTTGCTCATCATTTAGAGCAGACTTTTAATTTTAGAACTTAGAAAAAATTGGTAACTATTTCAACATAATTGGTTTAATATAATCTCTTTCCATGCTTCTCTGTATCCATTATATTCAGGGTTCCAGAAACACTCCATTATATTCATGGACTACAATTTATTTAGCCAATCCTTAGTTAATTGGCATCCACTCTGTTTCAAAATGGCTCATCAAAGTTTATCCCAGATTGATTCTTTTGAGTGGATGAACTAGGCCATCTTTTGCCTCAATTCTTACCTAACCTTAGATGGCTCTGGAGGAGAAAATTAGGGTGGTGACTTTGCCCTGCCCTCCCTCACTGAAATCCAATTCAATCGCAAGCCATGGCATCATCTTCCTGATGTCATGGTCCTGTTCGAGAACCAAGGACAAACCACAACCTATGAGTAGTCTGAGCTACCCCAATGGGGACCCAGCTGGACAGTTCCAGTTGGGCAACTCAGCTCCTCTCCTCTCCTCTCCTCTTCCCCCTCTCCCCCCATAGGGTATCATACCCTTACCTGAGAGTGTTCTGCCCAAAAGAAGGTAAATTTTGATGGTTGAAACCTACCAAGTTATCTTGGGGTTTACTGCCTAGATTTCTTTCTTAAAGACCGAGCCTTAAACCCAATTCACTCTGGCTCTCATTGATTGGTCAACAATAGGTCCCTGCCCAAGCAACACTTAATGGTTATTTTTTGGGTCCTGACAGCTCAGAGTGAAAGTAAATAGTAATTGTTTCTCTTTGGCTAGCAACTCTGAGGGTCTTCCTCTCTCGGTCTGATTTTTTTTTTTAATTAAACAGGCCTTCACTTGACTTATTTCTTAAGACAGATAGCTGTAGGCCTACTTCTTAAAGAGGCCTAATCTCTGAATGGGCAGGAAAGACCTTAGCTTAAAAAGGCCAAGGTCTCCCACCGCATCCTAAACCACCTCCAGTTGCCCTATTTATATCTGGCCCTTGGACCTAGATGGCTCTGGAGGAAAAAGTAAGGCTGGTGACTTTGCACAGCCCTTTCTCACTTAAATTCAGTTCAATTTCAAGTCATGGCATCATCTTCCTGATATCATAGTCCTCTTCAACAAACAAAGGACAAACCACAACCTAACCTTAAATCTCTGAATGGGCTTTGCTTCAAACAAACTGAGACCTGGGAAAGACCTTAGCTTAAAAAGGCCAAGGTCTCCCACTGCATCCAGGACCATCTTCAGTTGTCCTGACCCATGTCTTGCCACTGGACTCTGGTGGCCCAGGAGGAGAGAATGAGCCTGATGACTTTGCCCAGCTCTGCCTCACTTAAATCCAATCCACTTGGAAGTGGAGATATCACTCTCCTGGTGTTATTGGTCCTCTTCAGGAAGGAAGAACAAACAATTTTTGCTACTACAAAAAGTGCTGTTAGAGATATTTTGGGAAATTTGGAAACTTCTTATCAATGACCTTGGGGGAAGAGCCAGTTGAGGTGTAATAGAGGAATCTCTGGGTTAAGCAGCATGGACATTTTAGTCCCAGTGAAGACTTTTAAGCAAGGAGATTGGGATGTGTTTGGAGGCAGCCAGGAAAGAACTATGGGATCAAGAGAGGTTGAAAATTAGAGATTTGGGATTGAGGACATAAACAAGTAGAAGGTTTCACCTTTGTGAAAGAGGTCCTGGAATGGGATGCTGAGGGGATTTCAAGTTTGGGGTAGCTTCAGTTTTTTTCACTGAAGTATGAGACCATCCATTGTGGATCAGATTGTCCCTTCTAAAAGTTTGGATTTAGACTTACAATTTATGGAACACTTGAATCAGCAGAAGAAAGATACCTATGAATTTTATTTTATGTATTTAAAAACATTATTCTGAGAAGGGGTCCATAACTTCACCAGAGTGCCAGAGAGGTCCATAACAGAAAGAAGATGAAGCACTCCTGATAAGGTCCAGAGATTAAGGGTGCTGGAACCCCAAAATCACAACACAGGGGTCCTGCCTGAAAAAATTCGACCCAAGCCTTCTTTCAGTCAAAGATATGGTTTATTAAAGATCTGCCATATTGGCCAGGCTCTTAAGGAATCTGAGCACCTGTGAGCTATTGGCTAGATTTTGTGTAAAAATCTGAGCAGCTTAATGGACAAGATGGACCTCATATACAGAAAGACTGTGGGAGGGATCTAGGAGTGGCCAAGTAGTTTTCGGGGAGAGTGAGGTAGTAGAATGCCAGGGATCTGGGCCACATGGCCAAAGGACAAAGGAGCCTAGCTAGAATTAAGGGCGGAGAGTAGCCAGGGGGGCCATAGGGAGGTAAGACAATGGAGGGCTAGGCTAGGTTAAGGATAACAAAGAATTGGGAGGGGGGTAGCCACAATAAAACGCCAGTTGATGGGATTATAGCCTCAGGCAAATGCCAGAGATTGGGCCAAAAGTTCCGAGTTTTTCCTTTCTGGGATCCAGATCCCAACCTCATCATTCCCACTCTGGAATATTGATGATTTAAAGACATCTTATAATAGGTAAACTCTTGAGGTTGAGAACCTGGGTCAAATCCTGTTGCTACTCCTTAATCCTTATGTGCCTTTGGGCAAATCTCTTAACTTCTCTGACTCTATTTTTCCTCATTTATAAAATAAGGGGATTAGACTAGATAGGTTTCAACAGGCTTTCAAAGTGGCCCACAACACAAAAGAGGTTAAGAACACCTGGATTAGTTTAACTTCCTATCAATAGGCATTCCCATGAAACCTATGCGGTATATTATCAAAGAAAATGACAACATTGAAGCTACATAAATGTTGATGTAAATGATGTAAATAAAGCAGGCCTTGGGGCAATTTTATATCTCTTCAACAAAAGAAAGAACAAATCACCAAATGGGTTGTGCAACTAAAAAACAAACAAAAACTAGAAAAGCAATAAAGCAAAACTTCCAAAATTCAAAAACACTAAAATAAAAATACTAAAAATGAATGCAGAGCTTAACAAAATTGAAAAAAAAAACTAAGTTAACTTATTTTTTAAAACAACTACTAACATAGATAATTTGTTAGCTAGTTTGATTTTTAAAATCAGAGATGGGAGGCAGAATATAAGATACAAAGAATAGTAGAAGGCTAGTTTAGATAGGGATAATGGATAGACCACCAGCCTCATTCGGGAAAACCTGGGTTCTAAACCCATTAGTCTGTCTTTTCACACTGACTGGTTTTGTGACCCTGGGAAAGTCATTGAACTTTTCAAGGCCCCAGGCCATTCTCTTAGTTAATAAGGTACAGACCTGATGTTGATCTGTACACCGGAAAAAGGAGTTTTCTCCCTTTGAGTTCCTTATAGGAGGATCTTCCACTCTCTGATTTTTTTTTTTCCTGACTAGGTACAAGAGGTCAATTTTGGCCTCCTTTTTTTACCTAGCCTTAATCACTGAATGGACTTTGCCTCAGACAAACTGAGACCTGGGAAAGACCTTAGCTTAAAAAGGCTTGTACCCAAAAGAAATCAAAGAAAGAGGAAAAGGACCCATATGTACAATGATATCTCCATTATATTTATATACTACAATTTGTTTAGCCGTTCAGCTAGGTGTTGCAATAGATAAAGTACCAGGTCTGGAGTCCAGAAGCTACATACAAATCTGGCCTCAGACACTTACTCTGGGCAAGTCACTTCACTATGTTTGCCTCAATTTCTTCATCTTGAAATGAGCTGGAGAAGGAAGTGGCAAACCACGCCAGTACCTTTACCAAGAAAACCTCAAATGGGGTCACGAAGAGTCGGGACATCCACTTAGAGTTTCTAATTTTTGTCTATCATGACAAGAGCTGCTATAAACACGAAATTGGCAGTTTTAAAGGAAACTGAGAAAAGGCTACTATGGACAGATGCAAAGTGAAGTAAGCAGAACTAGGAGAACAATTTATAAAGAGAAGCAATTTTGAAAGACTTTAGAACTCTGATCAATACAATGAGAAAACACAAGTTCTAAAAAATGATGATGAAACATGCCACTAACCTCCTGATAAGAGAAGCGATGAAATTAAGATGCAGGAAACATAACTTTGCACACTTGGCTAATCTGGGTATTTGTTTCACTGAACTATTTGGCTATGTATCAAAGGCTACATTTTTTTCTTTTTAATTAAAAAACAAGTTAGGTCAAATTGACTTTATTTCCCTTTTTTTTTTTTTGCCTAAACTGGAATGTCAGGGGCTATAGATCTAGTCTATCTAGATTTTAGCTAAGTATTTTATAAAGTCTTTCTTGTTATTTTATGATACTTAGCATACTGCCTGGCATGTAGTAGGCACTTAATAAATGCTTATTAACTAGAAAAGATGGAGAGGTATGGGCTAGAAGATAGTCTATTTAGACTGGATTTAAAACTGATTAAATTGCTGGACCCAAAGAGCCATTAATTATTAATTGTTCAGTGACAATTTGGAAGGAGATTCCAGGGATGTGTACTTGGGCCCTTGCTATTTAACATTTATTTTTCTCAGTAACTTGGGAAAAAGCATATATGGCAGGCTTATGGAATTTATGAATGATACAGCTGAAAGAGTTAAAACATTGAATAATAGCAAGGGTGCCCAAAGATCATGAGAGACTGGACACAGGAGAGAATCAAATAAGATGAAATTTAGTAGGTTCAAATATAAAGTGTATTATCCTAGGTGACACAGTGAATAGACTCTGTGAATTCAAATCCAGGCTTTAGATACTTACTAGTGGTGATCCTGGGCAAGTCACTTACCCCTGTTTGCCTCAGTTTCCTCATCTGTAAAATGAACTAGGGAAGGAAATGGCCAATCACTACAGTATCTTTACCAAGAAAGCCCCAAATGGGGTTATGAAAAATCAAACTCGACTGAAACAACCTAACAACAATAATTGCACAGTAATTTGACTAAAAAAATTGAGGGGTTTTGGTAGTCTACAAAGTCAATATGGGTCAACAGTGTGATGAAATAAAGGCAGCCTATAGTTAAAAAAAAAAATGGGGGCAGCTAGGTGGTGCAGTGGTTAGAGCACTGGCTCTGAAGTCAGAAGGACCTGAGTCCAAATCCGACCTCCCTGCAACACATAACACTTACTAGTTGTGTGGCCCTGGGCAAGTCACTTAATTGCCTAGCAAAACAATACAATACAAAACAAAACAATACAAAACATAAAGGCAGTCTAAAACCTAACTTGACTTCAAGGAACAAAGAAGGAAGTAATTCTGCTGTACTGGGTCCTGGTCACACTCTTCAGTTCTGTTCAGTTCAGGGTGTGGACAACAAATGGTCACCCTGGAGTGGAGGGTGGTTTGGAGAACAAGTTTCTACCTCTACCTTCATGGGAGTAGGTGGAAATTTTTCTCCCTAACCATGCTTGTAGGCAATCACTGGGTCTAACTCAATGCAACACCTTCTCCTGGGGTCTCTGACTCTCCTCTCTTCCATGGCAGATGGAGAAAGACCCCAATTTCCCCTTTTGCAAAACAAACTCTTTTATAGGAGATAGAATTTAGCTCTAGAGGTTTTTAAGACTAGGGAAATGGAGGGGAAGGGACAGCTAGGACTGTTTACAAGTATTATCATATTTAATCCTCATTACAACCCTGAAAGGTAGGTGCTATTATTATTTTCATTTTATAGTTGAGGAAACTGAGAGACACAGAAGTTAACTGATTTGCCTAGGGTCACACAACTAGTAAGTGTTTGAGGTCTGGATTTGAACTCAGGTCTTTCTGACTCCAGGCTTCCTTTCTCTTCAAATTAAGCATCAGAACACAAACCATTAATACAATTAATAAAAGCTCTGAACCCGCAGGCAGTCTTTTGATCACAGAACGGAAATGAGGTTTCCCAAACAAAAAAAAGAAGGAAAGGTTTCCCCTCCTCAGAAAAGAAAAAAAGAAAGAAAAAATGTGAAGTTTCCTAAAGTTAAATTTGGCACAGCCCATTATCCACTGGCTTTCCCCTTTATCCACACTCAATAGCAATTCAGTATACAAGAAAAAATTATTTTATCTTCATCTAGAAAATCATTGTTAAAATATAAACAACCAATAACTAAATTTTAAAAAGCAGCCTTTAAACTTAGTAAAACAGTGCCACCTTGTTGTATGTAGCAATAAAACAAAAAGAGGAGAAACAGAAATTGGCTTCTCCAAATAATTTTAGTTTTACAGTTTAGACTCCAACTAATGCCAGTCTTATAGTTGTTGTTCAGTTGTTTTTCAGTCATGTCTGATTCTTCATGGGGTTTTCTTGGCAAAGATACTGGAGTGGTTGAGGGTGAGGTGACTTGCCCAGGGTCACACAGGTAGTAAGTATCTGAGGCCAGATTTTAACCCAAGAAGATGTCTTTCTGATTCCAGGCCTGGTACTCTATCCATTGTGCCACCTAGCTTCCGGGTCTTAAGAGTTATTACACCTGAAAAGCACCCTTCACTACTTTTTGCTGCTTAGTGTTTCTCCAATCATTCTTTCTCCCATTCTTCTCACATGGTAGTTCAAAAACTTCTGCATTGGCATTACTGTTCTTGGTTCAAACCACACAATAGTTTCACTGCTTCTCAGTTTGAAAAAAGACAACTCCAAGGGACTTTAGAGCTCACCCCCTTTGAAAAAGTAGCCAATCTTTAACAACTGGTTAATAAAGAGCTACTTCCCTTAGTTGAATTAAACAGACAACCCTAATACTCTTCAAGGGTAAGTAAAAGAATCACTTCTCTTGATCTGGTTAACTATAAACTAAGAGATGCTCCATTGATTAACCAAGATAACTTCCTTCTATCTAATCAGAGTTTCCTGGAATCTGAATTCCTTTCTTCACTTGTTTTAGTCTTCTATTACTGAAAACTCATGGGGTCCTTGATTCAAATGATACCAAGAAATTCCAGACTATAATTCAGTTAAAATATTATTTATTATTTCATAAAACAAAAAGAAGCCTTAATGGAGATGCTGTAATGGGCAACTAGGTGGTGCAGTGGATAGAAGACCAGGCCTACAGTCAGGAAGACTCATCTTCCTGAGTTCGAATTCAGCCTCAGACACTTACTAGCTCTGTGACCCTGGGCAAGTCACTTAACCCTGTTTGCCTCAGTTTGCTCAACTGTAAAATGAGCTGGAGAAGGCAATGAAAAACTACTGTAGTATCTTTGCCAAGAACATCCCCAATCAGAACATGACTGAACAACAACAGCAATGGAGATATTTCCCCATAGATCAGAGTCAAAATAAGAATGTTCGTCTCTTGTTTCTTGGCTTATCTTCCATACCTTACAGGAAAAGGTTGCTGATAATCAATCAATAAATATTTATTAAGTGCCTACTGTATGCCAGCACAATTTATAATTATTTGTTATCAGGTGGAATAAATGATGCCTTCTGGTTCTAGGTGGCTGTTCCAGATTTGATGAAAGCAGTAGACAATGCTGACATCCTCCTGTTCATCTTACCCCATGAATTCATCCAGAAAATCTGCTGTGAGATAGCAGGTCATTTGAAGCCTGGGGCATTTGGAATCTCCCTCATCAAGGTACAGGTTAAGTCACAATCCTCACCTAATTTGATAAGGTCTATATTTGGTGTGGGGTGGTAACAAAGATTAGCCCTTCAAAATCCAACATCCTTTTCTTTGAGCTCCAGACTCCAGACTAGAGATCCTCAATCAAACCTCTAATTCACAGGCTTTGTGTTGACAAACTCTTGAAACTTTCTGTGAGATTGGGAGTTCAAAGAGAAATGAAGATAGATTATTTTCTCTATAAAGAGATGATGCTGGAGACCAGCTAAAGTAGCATTATGAATGCGCAAGTTCTATGGTCTCTTCCAGCCTTTGGCAGGTATATGTAGGCATATTGCCGTGGCCTTTTTTTTTTTTTAAACAGCTCACTACAATTCTTTATTTCCACATCTATAAGTACAGGATGTTTCACAGCTAGAGTTCAAACTTGAGGTAATGTCTTAATTACCTGGATAATCTTCAACATTATGTGGAAGTGTTTATCTAATGTTTTTCTTTTTTTTTTCTTGATAATTAATTAATTTGTTTTTAGTTTTCAATATTACTTCCGTAAGATTTTGAGTTTTAAATTTTCTCCCCCTCCCACCACTCTCTCCCCACAAGACAGCATGGAATCTGATATAGGCTCTACTTATACATACATATTAAGCATATTTTCTCGTTAGTCATTATGTAAAGAACAATTAGAACTAATGGGAGAAACCCTAAGAATGAAGCAATAGAATAAAACAACAAAGGAAAGTGAGAGCAATTTGTATGCTTCCACCTGCATTCAGACTCCATAGTTCTTTCTCTGGATGTGGATAGCAATGTCCATCATAAGTCTTTTGGAGTTGTCTTAGATTCTTGCATTGCTGTGAAGAGCCAAGCCTATCAAAGTGAGTCATTGCACAATGTTGCTGTTACTGTGTACAATGTTCTCCTGGTTCTGCTCATTTCACTCTGCATCAGTTCATGTAAGTCTTGCCAAGTTTTTTTGAAGTCTGCCTGCTCATCATTTCTTATAGCACAATAGTATTCCATTTTACATTCATATACCACAACTTGTTCAGCCATTCCCCAATTGTTGGGCATCCTCTCAATTTCCAATTCTTTGCCACCACAAAAAGAGCTGCTATAAACATTTTTGTACATGTGGGTCCTTTTTCCATTTGTATGATCTATTGCTGGGTCAAAAGGTATGCACATTTTTATAGCCCTTTGGGCATAGTTCCAAATTGCTCTCCAGAATGGTTGGATCATTTCACAATTCCACCAACAATGTATTAGTGTTTCAATTTTCCCACGTCTTCTCCAACATTTATCATTTTCCTGTTTTGTTATGCTAGCCAGTCTCATAGGTGTTATGTGGTACCTCAGAGTTGTTTTGATTTGCAACTCTCTAAACAGAGCATTTTTTCATATGACTATAGATGGTTTTAATCTCTTCATCTGAGAACTGCCTGTTCATATCCTTTGACCATCAGAAACACTTTAATAACTAGTTTAACATATTCTCAGAGCATAGTCCTATGAAGTACAAAAACCAGTGGGCCTTGAACAGCAGCCTTCGTAGCCTTGTATAAGTCTTAGTTACATAGGCGTGATGGGCACAATTTTACAGAGGGCAGAAGGGGAAGGTAAAGATTTACACATCAAAGAACAGGTAGCAGAAGGGGAAAAAGATCTATGTATTTCAAAATAATAAACTGGCCCTTAAACTCTAGGAATATAGCTAGAAATTTGCAGACTGACCATCAACATTGGGGTATACCTAGTTACTTGACTTGCTCATCTTAAATAAATCTATTTACTTATTTATTTAAAGCTGAGCCTGAAATACTCTTCTCGCTAACTAGTTAATCACTGGAGCCAAAGTTTTATGTCAGCAAAATTCTGCAAGTTCTAGCTAGTTATGTGGCTTACTGTCTTAAGGAAATGGCAGTAGTAAAGTCAATACAGAAAAAATTCTCTTATGACAGAAGAGAGCCCACTGTCACCTACAGCACTATCGACTCCAGGGAGAGTGAACTCAGAAGTTACTCAATTTCATTGGCCCCGCCATATTCAGTGTGGTGGGTCCTCTTCAGCTACCTGGTTGGGTCCTGAAAGTTGCTCCTCAGGACTTTGTAACTGGACTGGATGACAAACTCAGCATGGGATCAATGTCTAGATCTTGGGTGACTTTTTCTCCTGACTTCTTGAAACTCACAAGGTTGTAGTCCTTTCTAATTATATTCACCTAAAACAAAAAAACAAACACACAGGCAAAACCAAGGACATTTTCACAGGCCACATGTCTGCTTCAGATGGGGACAGCCCAAGGCCCCTTCCCTCACAGTATTGCTTCTTATCAGAATGCTGCCAACCTGAAAGAAGTCAAACTAAGAGAAAAAAGAAAGCATCAGTTAGTGCCTTCTGAACATGCCCCATTTCTGGCTATGCAACTACAGCCAATTCATGAGGCTCCTTCCTATTAACTGTGTGGTTAATAGACCAGAACCAGTTATAGAATGTCTGTGCATCTCCCAAGTTTTCCAGTATACTTTCATTACATCTCCCAGAAACAGGGCTCCCAGCCTCTTCCATGTGAAGAATTACGTCAGCCCATCACTCGGATACTTGCTTATAAAAACTCGACTAATTGGCCAGTCTTCTATTACAGGTGTAAATATGAAGAGGCATTGTGGCATTGTAAATTTTTTTTACACATATAGGTCCTTTTCCTTTTCTCTTTGGTCTCTTTGGGATATAGCCCTAACAGTGGTAATTCTTGGGTCAAAAAATATGCACAGTCTTATAGCCCTTTGGGCATAGTTCCAAATTGTTTCCCAGAAGGTTTGGAGTAGTTGACAAACCCACCCCTGTGCTTTAGTGTCCTTATTTTTCCACATCCCCTCCAACTTTTGTCATTTTCCTTTTCTCTCATGTTAACCAATCTGATAGGTCTGAGGAGGTACTTCAGAGTTGTTTTAATGTGTATTTATCTAATCAGTAATGATGTAGAGCATTTTTTCATGTGACTATTATAGCTTTGATTCCTTCTTCTGAAAACTGCCTATTCATATCATTTTACCATTTATTAATTGGGGCATTGCTCTTATTTTTAAAAATTTGTCTCAGTTCCCTATATATCTGAAAAATGAAGCCCTTATCAGAGAATCTTGCAATAAAATTTTCCCATTTCCTGCTTTTATTTCCTTCTAATTTTGGTTCCATTTTTGTTTTGCAAGAGCTTTTGAATTTAATGTAATCAAAATTATCTATTTTACATCCTGTGACCTCTATCTCTTGTTTGGTCATAAATTTTTCCTTTATTCAGAGATGTGACAAGTAACTTTTTTCCATGCTCTTCTATGCTTATGATATTACCCTTTAAGTCTAAACCATGTATTCATTTTGACCTTATTTTGGTATAGGGTGTGAGATGTTAGTCTATGCCTAGTTTCTGTCATCCTACTTTCCAGTTTTACCAGCAGTTTTTGTCAAAAGTTAGTTGTTACTTCAATTGCTTGGAACTTTGGATTTATTGAACACTAGATTACTATGGTGATTTAATATTGTGTATTGTGTACTTAATTTATTCCACAGATCCACCATTCTATTTCTTAGCCAGTACCAGATTGCTTTTATGGTTACCACTTTACAGCATAGTTTGAGATCTGGTACTGCTAGGCTACCTTCCTTTATGTTTTTTCACTGATTCCCTTGTTATTCATGACCTTTTATTCCTTTAGATGAATTTTGTTATTATTTTTTGCTGCTCTATAAAGTAATTCCTTGGTAGTTTGACTGGTATGGCACTGAAAAGTAAATTAATGTGGGTAGAATTGTCATTTTTATTATGTTGGCATGTTCTACCCATGAACAATTAATATTTCTCCAGTTGTTTAGATCTGTCATAAGGCTATGCCTGTTGATGTGTCCAGTGTTGTGAAGAAGTACTTGGCTTAAGTACTCTGTGGAGTGGTCAAAAGGTTTACTGAAACTCCTATTGACTCTCCTCTGTCCCTAGACAGTGATGATCCTGGATTTCCTTGTAAACCTGTTCCCTTTCCAGGGATTTGGTGCCTGACCAAGACGCTGATTTCTTTCCCTGTGCTGGACCTCTCAACGTAGCTAAAACCAACACCTGTTCCTGAAGGAAAAAATTTCATCTCTATGGTCTTCCCTGCCATATCAACTACAATCAGGGGCCCCAGTTTATCTAACAATTCTATACTATAATATGCATGGTTGTCCAGGTAAAGATTCACTTTTCCATGGCACGATAATAATAACTTACATTTACATTGAACTTTGAAGTTTGCGAAGTATAATATATATATATACATATACATGTGTATACATATATATACAATACATATATATATGTGCATGTGTATGTGTGTATATATATATGTATGTATATATATATATATAAATAATCCCATTCAAGCCTTTAACTCTGTGAAGTAGTTACTAATAGGTATGATTATCCCCATTTAACAGATGTGGAAATCAAGGCTCAGTTCAATTTGCTTGCCCATGGTCAGACAGCCAGTTAGTGTCAGAGGCAAGATCTGAACCCAGTTCTCCCTAACTTCAAGTCGAGTAGTCTATTTACTCTGCCACAATGCCTCTCATATCATACTGAATCCAAGAAAAAGATAGAGTGAGTAAAGCAAACCTTCAGACATTGTCTCTGATGTTACAAGTTTTATTGGGATAATTGAGTTGCTCTACTGGCCACTGTGGAACTTTTTTTTTTTTTTTGGTTAGGCAATGGGGTTAAGCGACTTGCCCAGGGTCACACAGCTAATAAGTGTTATGTGTCTGAAGCTGGATTTGAACTCAGGTACTCTGGAATCCAGGGCTGGTGCTCTATCCACTATGCCACCTAGCTGCCCCCCCCCCACTTGGAACTTTTAAAAAGGATCCATTTCATTTCATTTTCACTTAGAAAATGCTGCTTTATGCAGACTTGTTTCCCTTACTGGTATTACCCTGCATTTATCTTCTGCACTACAATTCCTGTGGTCAGTAACCACTTGGGAGAGTTGGAAGCTTTCCCCAGTTAACTTTTCTTTTCTTTCTTTCTTTTTTTTTTTCCAGGTTAACTTTTCTAATACATCCTACTGGCAGCCATATTGGCATCCAAATGGGACGAACCAAGTTCAACTCTAACCTCAAACACTTACTAGCTATATGACTCTGGGCAAGTCATTTCCTCTCTTATAGCGTCTTTAAAATGGGAATAATATTGGAGAGCAATTTAGAACTATGCCCAAATGGCTATAAAAATGTGCATAGCCTTTGACCCAGCAATAGCACTTCTAGGGCTATATCCCAAACAGATCATTCAAATGGGAAAAGGACGCACATGTACAAAAATATTTTTAGTAGCTCTTTTTATGGAAGCAAAGAATTGGAAATTGAGGGAATGCCCATCAATTGGGGAATGGCTGAGCAAGTTGTGGTATATGAATGTAATGGAATACTATTGTGCTGTAAGAAATGGTGAGCAGGTAGACTTCAGAAAAACCTGGAAAGACTTGTATGGACTGATGCTGAGTGAAGTGAGCAGAATCAGGAGAACGTTGAACACAATAACAGCCCTGTTGTTTGATGACTAATATTGATAGTCTTAACCCTTCTCAGCAATACAAGGGTCTAAGACATCTCCGAAGGTGTCATGGTGGAAAGTGCTATCTACATCCAAAGAAAGAACTATGAAGTTTGAATGCAGATTGCTATTTTTTTGCTATTTGCTATTTTTTTCTTCTGTTTTGTTTTGTTTTCTCTTTCTTGTGATTCCTCCTATTGGTTCTAATTCTTCCTCACAACATGACTAATGTGAAAATGTTTAATAGGAATGTATATGTATAGCCTACATCAGAGGGCACGCTCTCTTGGGGAAGGAGGTTGGGAGGGAGGGGGAGAAAAATTTAAAACTCAAATGCTTATGGAAGTGATTGTAGATAAGTGAAAATAAATTAATAAAAAATGGGAATAATAATAGCATATGCCCCCCAAGGTTGTTGTAAGGATAAAAGAATATTTGTAAAGCACTTTGCAAGCCTTAAAACACTATATAAATGAGCACTCTTAGCAGTAGTAGTAGTTATTACTCCAAGAGCCCGCTGGAGCATAGGGGTCTGGGTCTGGATCACAGGAGTGTGGATCTAGCTAGGTTATATTGACATAAACTCCATCCTGGTAAAGTTTCCCAGAAGGTGGTGGACAGGAGCCCTTCCCAGTCACTCTAAAGGTGAGTTCTATGGCCTTTGAGGAAGGATTCTCCTTCTCGTTCTGGAGCTAACTTGAATGTAATCAGTCCACATGCCTGAGAGATATCTGCTTCTTGCACACTTACAGTGACAAGAATGTACATTCCATTTTTGGACAGCCCTAATTTTGAGATAATTTTTCCATCATACGGAGCTGAAAATGCACTTTAGCACAGTGTCTGGCACATGATAGGTGCTTAATCAATGACTGTTGATTGATTGTTGACTGACTGAATGTTGCTTTAATATACCTTCTGCTCATTTCTTCTCAGTCTGCCATAGGAAGCCACAAAGGACAAATTGAATGCTTTCTATCCAGGAAACGTCTTCACACTCCTAGAAGCAGCTTTTATGTCCTCACCAAGTCTTCTCTCCCCTAGTGCCTTCAACCAGTCCTTATAATGGTGTTATTTTCAGACCCTTAACCCTTGTCTGGAAAATAGACTGATTTTAAATAGATTTAATGTTTATATAATTACAATGGCATTGCTCTTCTTTTGGTCACAGGTTAATAGCTTATATACTCCTCACTGAAGGAAAAGCAACCCTGCTATTATTCTTCCATTGGTATTGGCTGATTTTTTTGGTGGGTGGGTTATTTTCTGTCATGGAAAGGCAGGGGGATGGGTAGGAAGAGGAAAGAGTCTGTAAGTCATTTCTTCTGCTGAAGTAGATTAAGAATCCAAACTTTTGGAAACCACATTGGTAGAGGGACAAAAGCAGAAGGCCTTGGAGGACATACACAAGGTGTCACACCTAAGTCTGTAACTAATGAGAACTTTTCAAGGACTCTGAGGAAGAGAAAACACATTTGTGCCCTGCAGCCGACCCACAGGCCTTTGCCTTAGCCTTCCTCACTCAAGGACAAGCTGAGTAAGCAAGGAAGTGTGTTAAAATAACTTTTTTTTTCACTTTTTTTTTTAAGTGAGGCAATCAGGGATAAGTGACTTGCCAAGGGTCACACAGCTAGTAAGTGTCATGTGTCTGAGTAAGATAACTCTTTACAATGCTACCTGATGAGTTTATTGGGTCTTGCTACATTTCTGTATCATTTCTTCCTTCTGACTGACTGAAGTACAACTTACCTTCTTCCTCCTTCTTCCAACTTCTTGTTCTTTTTGACCAGGGAATTCATGAAAGTCCTGGGACCTTGAAGCTGACCTCTCACATCATCCAAGAGATGCTTGGCATTGAAATAAGTGTGCTAATGGGGGCTAACATCGCTAATGAAGTAGCTGATGAGAAATTCTGTGAAGCCACCATCGGTAATGACTGTTCTAGGCAATTCATTCAAACTAATGCCTTTTCTTTCTCAGAGAATGAAGTTGAGGATAGATGGGGTGTGGGGATGGGGAACTTCAAGGGAAGGAAGAGCAAAGGTCCCTATGTCCAGTCCTAAAGCATTAAAACAGATAAAGGAATTTCAAAGTTCTTAGTCATCTAAATGGGCAGCTAGAGTAGCACAGTGGATAGAGTACTAGCCTGAAGTTAGGAGAACCTGAGTTCAAATCTGGTCTCAGACACTTACTAGCTATATGACCCTGGGCAAACCACTTAACCCTGCTTGCCTAAGTTTCCTCATCTGTAAAAGGAGCCAGAGGAATAAATGGCAAACTGCTCTAATATCTTTGCTAAGAAAACTCCAAATGGGGTCACCAAAAGTCAGAGGACACTAAACAACAAAAAAGTCATTTAAATAGAGCACTTGTGACTGATGAGATCAAGGGTGTGATTATTAATAAGAGTGGGTGAGGGGCCATGGAGGAGTAGGTGATGAGGTTTGAGGAAATTGAGGAACTGGGAAGTTAGGGTTTTTGAGGGAACATCTACATGTATATTGAAGTTCTCTTATATAAGAGCAGGAGTTTGTGGTGAAGAAGAAGACTGCGTACCCAGGTCTTCTTAGGAAAAGAGAGAGAATTGACCCAGGGACTAAATATATAACTACCACCAATGTCTGGATTGGGTGATAAATTTAGAGAGTAAATCTCAAAGTAAAAGAGGTTGATGGCAACAGAGAGAGGGTCTAGAAATGGAGCCAAGACCATGCTGACTCCTAGAGAAGAGGCCTCCAGTAATGGAAAGAATGGCCAAGGATGCAGCGTCATGTCGGGGCTGACCTGGGAGACATCTGAAAGGAGAGGAACTTTGCCAATTATAGAACGGGAATTCCAGAGCACACAATGAAAGAAATGATCAGAGCTGGGAAGGAATAGGGTTAAGGTTGGATGTGCATGGGAAGACAGGAATTGTGAGGACTGGGGAGTGGAAGGCTTTACTCTTAGGCATTTGGGATTCACTATCATAGGGATTAGGAAGGTAAGGGGTGATTTGAGAGGCAGAGAATGAGACAAAAACATGTGTTTGTAAAGAATCATTAATCTGGGGCAGCTAGGTGGTGCAGTGGATAGAGCACCAGCCCTGGAGTCAGGAGGACCTGAGTTCAAATCTGGCCTCAGACACTTGACATTTACTAGCTGTACGACCCTAGGCAAGCCACTTAACCCCATTACTTAGCATTTAAAAAAAAAAAATAGAATCATTAAACCTCTTTCAATCAAGGTGGTCTATTTGCTTCTCATATAGGACTTACTGAGAGGCAGTATAGCTCAAAAACTGGAAAGCTTCTCTTAGAGTCAGAAAAGACCTGTGTTCCAGGCCTACCTCTGACACACACTGGCTGTGACGGCAAGTCATCTAATTTCTTGGTGCCTCAAGCAATTGAAAATAATAAATTGCAAAGAAGTTGCCATTTGCTTTGATAGAATGAGTTTCCTTACCCAGGAACTCCTTGTACTGATGAAATCACTTGCCCCAAAACAAACAAAACACCCAAAACTTCAGACTTCATAAATGAGTCATTCGGTTGGTTGGGCCCAAGAGACCAATATAACAAATAAAGGCTAACTTAGGTAAGGTAAGAGAGAACAAAGAAACCTAGATAAGGAAAGAGCACAGGAAGCAAAGGAGACAGGGGGCATACACTTTAAAGTGTACCCAGGCAGACGATGACTTTAAGCCTCAGAGTTTCAATATGGCCACTGGAAATTCTCATATTTCCTGGCAGCTGGTGACTTGAATTTAATTCAGTGGACACTTATTAAGCTCCTACTGTATATAGGACACAATATTATATGCAAACCCAATTGCCTCTGTGCCCCTGGATTGCATCCTTTAGTGAGGTGCAACACCCTGTAATGGTGGAAAAGGTCCTGGACGTGGAGTAAGGAGACAAGTCCCAAGTCTGCTACTTCATGTGTGACTTTGAGCAAGCCACTTGTAAAATGGGCACATTTGTGCTACCTACCTCAGTTTTCTTGTGAGGAAAGTACTTTGTAAACCTAAGGTGCCATGGAAATGTGAGTTATAACTGTTTTAGTATGTTCTATCATGTGTTCAGCAAATTCAGTTCAGGCATTTCATTGAAGGGAAACCACTCACCTTCCCCCTCAAAATAATACTTTCCCATGATGGAAAATGCTATCCACATCCAAAGAAAGAACTGCAGAGTTTGAATGCAGATCGAAGCACACGATTGTTCTTTTTTTTCCTTCTGTTTTGTTTCCTCTTTTTTTTTTTTTTTTTTGTGAGGCAATCGGGGTTAAGTAACTTGCCCAGAGTCACACAGCCAGTAAGTATCATGTGTCTGAGGTGGGATTTGAACTCAGGTCCTCCTGACTCCGGGGCTGGTACTCTATCCACTGCACCACCTAGCTGCCCCTGTTTCCTCTTTCTTGTGGTTCCTTCTATTAGTTCTAATTCTCCTTACAACATGACTAATATGAAAATATGTTTAATAGGAATGTATATGTAGATCCTATATCAGATTGCATACTGTCATCGGGAGGGAAGGGGGAGGAGGGGGAGAAAAATTTAAAACTCAAAAGCTTATGGAAGGGATTGTTGATAAATCCAAATAAATTAATTTAAAAAATAATAATACTTTACAGTGCTGTGAGGTTTACAAAGTGCTTTCACATCCATCATCTCTCTTGATCCTAACAACAAACTCTGTGAGACAGGCAGGGAAGTTGTTAATATCCTTTTATAGATGAGAAAAAACTCTTTAGTAGAGGGTGAAAATAAGGGAAATCAAGGACCTGTTGATCCCTCCTCTCTGTAACTTCTCTGTAATGGAGGCCGACGGCTGAGGACACTGTGTCTGCCGGCTCTTCTTTCTCAGGATGCACAAACAAGACACATGGGAAGATCTTTAAGGAATTATTTGAAACACTCAACTTCCGAATGACTGTAGTGGAAGATGATGAAACTGTGGAGCTCTGTGGAGCACTGAAAGTGAGTCATGGGAGGAGGCTGAGGAGCCACTGCCACACTGCCAGGGTCCCAAATAGTATCATCCACAGCCCCCTCCTGGAACCAGCCTCCAGAAATGGGAAGCCCAAAGTGTAAAGAGTAGCTCTTATTACCAGGACCAGAGAATCTGACACGGGTGCAGCGGGTAGACCCACTCCCACTACTGGCCTTCTGACTAGAGTTGATGGGTTTGGAGAAATCCAGGGTTTGGCATCTTTATCTCATCTTCCCTTCTCCTGTTCTCTCATTTTAAAAATCTCTCTTCTTGACACCCTTCACTGCAGAATATTGTGGCCCTTGGAGCCGGCTTCATTGATGGCTTGGGTTACGGGGACAACACTAAAGCAGCCGTCATTCGCCTGGGATTCATGGAAATGATAAAGTTTGCAAAGATTTTCTGCAAGAGGCCTGTCCACCTGAGCACCTTCCTGGAAAGCTGCGGCATCGCCGACCTCGTGGCCACCTGCTATGGGGGTCGAAGCAGGAAAGTGGCCGAAGCCTTTGCACGAACAGGAAAGGTGTGGATTAATAGGGAGGGCGCTTGAGGCTTTCCCCAGACCAAGAGATTTCTGATAGGTGGGAGGAGTCTACCTCATTTTTTTTTTCTTTTATCATGCCATTTCCTTCTGTAGTTCATTTTCCCAGATGATGAAACTGAGGCAAACAGATTTAAGGGACTTGCCCAGGGTCACATAGCTAGTAAGTGCCTGCGGCCAGATTTGAACTCGTGAAGGTGAATCTTCCTGACTCCAGGCCCATCATTCTATCCATCGAGCCACCTAACTGCTCTAGAGGCAGGAGAGGGTGAAACAATATCTACTAGGTTAGCCTTCTTTGGTGGGAAGGGGTGAAAACAAATGCTGCAGGAGATCGACTTATGCAAGACAAGGTCATTGCTCTCCATGCTAATTCCTCCTAAGGGTAGGAGGCTTTGGGGATCCAGTCATGAGTCTACCTCATTTTTCAGAAAAGGAAACTGAAGGACAGAATGGTGCTTAAGTGACTTGCTCAGGGTCATACAGCTAGCTAATAATTATGAAGAGTGGGATTTGAGCCAGGTCTGCCTGATTCCACGTCCTGTCTTCTCTATAGCCAGGTACAGCACAAATAAAGGAAGCAGTAGACAGGGCTGGGTTCGAGTCTTAGCTCGCTTCTTCCCTTGCCTGCCTAGGAAGCAACATGGTGCAGGAAAATCCTGAATTTGGGGTCTCTTGACCTGGCTCTGTGATCTGGGACAATCTCTCTTTCACCTCAGTTTTCTCATTTGCCAATGAGGAAGACGGACTACAAGCCTCTTCCCCTCTCCAAATCTATGATCCTAAATCATTTTATTTCTCTAGGCCCCAGTATCTGTAGTATGTGGAAGTTGGACTTTTAAGTTCCTTCTAAGACCCTTGCAGAACTAACATGCTAGTATTTGACCGCCAAGCAAATCTTTAGCCTTGTTAAGTCCCCTCCTCGTCCTGGTGTGCAAAGTCTGGCTTAGAATCAGTTCCTGTTCTCTCTCCCCTCAAGGGGCAAACAAGGGTGCGAGCTTCCTGGTTCTGGCTGAGCCAGCACCCACCTGACGTCAGTCCTGGGAGGTCTCCCTCCTCCCCTGACTCAAGCCCTCTGCCAGCTGTTGAAGAAGGTAGAAGGGGTCATCGCAGCTTTGACTGTGACTCGGCTTTTGGAGCAAATGAGAAATTTCCTGGGGAGAAATACTTTTATTTAACATCCCCTGTGTCTGCTGCCCCTACCCAGAGCCTCCCTGGAGCCAATAATGATATATTGATCACATGTCTAGGTTCACAAAAGTTTACAAGTCCTCTTCTAGTCCTGTTGGGTAGAGGATGGATGGAATCCCCACTTTACAGGGGAATAAACTGGCTTAGATAGATGAAGTGACTTACCCATCCATAGTCACACGGCTAGAAAGTGCTAGCAGCTAAACTCAAATTCAGATATTCTGTCTGAAGAGCTATGGAAAGTTCTTTGCACTACCCAGGCTGTCACTCGCTCGGTACATGTGTGCTGGCTAGCCCGGCCTTTCCCTGCCATGTCCTATCTCTCCCTCACAAAAGTCTCCCAATCAGTGACTTTGTGATGTGGGGGGTGGGGTTCTCCCTTCTGTGGGCCAATTTCTCCCCCTTATGGACCATGGGGGCATTGCCTTGGTATCTCTTTCCCTATAGATGATGTCCTGGAAGCCCCATGTCAACTGAGTGTGAATTAATTACTTATTTCATGAATTACAAATTTGATTTGAGGACATTGGTACTGCTTGTTGAAGGTACCAAGGTGGGCATCTTAGTAAGCCTTTCAGTTAATGCTAAATTAACTGAGTATTCATTCTAAGCACTGATTATACATAGGATCATAGGATCTTAGAGGTCATCTAATTCAACCTCCCTCTTATCTTTTTATCCTATTCCTTTCAGTCCCTTGAAGAGTTAGAAAAAGAGATACTTAATGGACAAAAGCTCCAGGGGCCTCCAACTGTCAGAGAACTATACAAGATCCTGAAAAAGAAAAACATGGATGAGGAGTAAGTGACTGATGATAACTACTAAATAGGGAGTGGAACTTTCTTTTAGGAATCGTTTGTATCAGAAACTTAATCTCAGTGAAAACAAATAAGCAAAATGGGCAATTAAATTGTATATCTAACCATAAGCTTGAATCAATATACTCTTCCAGAAAAGGGAAAATATATATCAATTTTAATAAAACAAAGCCTTAATCGATCTCCCTTTTTAATCTCCTTTTTGTTTGTGTACTTATCAGATTTTGTGGCTTTTGTTTATATACATGGACATTTTAGAGTCAATATTATGATTCTTTCTTCATTCTTTATCACATTCTATGTCTGTCCATATTTCTGTCTTCTTTATATGTGTTATTCTTTTTGGTGTAAAACTTTTCCCTTCCATGGACATGACAGAGTGTATTTAACCATTTCCCAGTTGCTGGATATATGACTTGTTTCTAGTCTTTTGCTATTATAAATAAAGTCACTTTGAACATTTTTGCACAGACGGTTGTGTTTTTCACTGTTAGAGGACAAGGACTTTTCCATGCCTGGAGGAATAACAGCAGAGACCAATAGCTTCTGCTCCCCCCCTTACCACCAAGGGCTGGGCACCATCTTGAGGCCAATCAAAGCTGTAAGATAATTTGCATGGCAGTATATCGGCTGCTATTGAGGCATAATGGGCCTCAACAAGGCCAACACAGAGGTGAATGTGTTTATCTCCAGTTTCAAAAAAGCACGTCATGAAATGTAGACCATATGAGGAAACATGCCACCTTTCCTTTGAAGGGTAGAAGAGGAGAAAGTATCTCATCTTACCCAGCTAGGACGGAGGGCTTGGGATCCTTTGTGAAGAGGGACAAGACAGTGTTCTCACAGTTGCCTGAGAGGCCCTTTTCAGCACCATCTAGACAGAGATGTGTGAGGCAGGTGGAAAAAAACCAAACTCAACAGTGTAGAAAGAAGGAGGTAAAAGTAATTCCCAGGTGCAAGATCCAGGACTGCTGCCTGCGTAGTCTAAATGACATTCACAGCAGCCGTGGCAAAAGTAAGGCGCACAGTTTTAGGGACTGCAGTAAAGAAGACTGAGGTAACAGTGTTAGAGACACAGCTTTAGACTTAGTAAACAGGATCAGATCCCGGGTCCATGAGTGACAGCTGTGGCAGCAGGACTTTTCAAAATGACAGCTGGAGAGGTAATTGTGGAGACCAAGAGCTCACAAGTCTCCACTAGTGGAAGCCCTCTTAGCAGCCAGCCACCAGATACAGTTAGCTCTCAGCAAAGGAATTTACCAAGACAGCATCCTTTATTTCCCCTAACTTTCACTTGAATTTGTCATTTGGGTCCCCAAAGGGTAACTGCTATTATTCAGTATCTTAGATTAGCCCAGGGGGAAAGAAGGGAGGTCAGCCTCCTAATGCTAGAGTTCACAAGCTGATGAACCAATAGATACATTCTCTTAGCAAAGGCATTAACGGAAAGAGAAATACTATTAAAACTAAAATAGTATTTAAAATGGTAGTTATAAAATATTCCCCCAGCAGAACCTAGGGATACACAAATCTACAAATATCCACAGTGCCTGTGCAAAGAATGGGCACAAATTTAAAGTACAGTGGTAATACAGCAAATTTATAGGCAATACATATGCCAAAGCAACTCCCAATTCCCTCATGTCAGGGCCTATAAGTGCTTTCTCTATGCATGCAGCCCATAACTACATGGGCATCCATAACTGGTTCTCTTCCTTGCTGTCCCTTGAAGTTTCTTCCTTCTTCCAGTGACTGCCTTTTTTTTCCGTTTGTTTGTTTGGTTTTTTTTAGGCAGTTGGGGTTAAGTGATTTGCCCAGGGTCACACAGCTAGTAAGTGTCAAGTGTTTGATCTGAGGCCGTATTTAAACTCAGGTCCTCCTGACTTCAGGGCCAGTGCTCTATCCACTGCGCCACCTAGCTGCCCTGACTGCCTTTCTTTATTTGTATTTGTCTACAATGTTTCCATATTTCTTTAGCTGTACCTCGAACTATCTCAAAGCAATGAAGTCTCAAATTAGTAGGTGGCTTGGCTCCCTCTAGACAAGTCACTGCTAGACACTAGGGCTAATGACAGGAGGGAAAAAGAGAAGTCTCATTCTTCTCTCCTGCCTGGCTCTCTTCCACAAAGTTCTCATGACACTATATTTGTGAACTCTCCAGGGCTTAACTACTTAAAAAATCTCCAGGATTTAGCAATTTAAAATGGCAGAGACATGTCCAATTTTTGTTTGTCTAGTGTGTTTGTACTCCCTTTAATTCCAGCAGAGAAAGAAGTTCACACTTCATAAAGGGATCACCTGGCATGCCTGACACTTTACAGATAGTTTAATACTTTGTTATCACATTAAAACTTCATCATCTGTGACTAAATCCTTTTCCCACTACTATTTGTCATAGTTCTAGACCTGCTAACTGTAGCAATAAGATAAAAGAAAGACATTAAATGTATAAACATAGGCAGAAAGGGAGCAAAATTACTTCTATTTGCAGATGACATATGATGATTTACTTAGGAAACTACAGAACCAGCAAAGAAACTAATCAAGTCAATTAATAGCTTTCATTAAGTAGCGGTTTGCAAAATAAATCCACAAAAATGACAGCATTTCTATATAGCAATGACAAAAATCAAGAGATAGGAAAAGAAAGTAAATTCCATTTAAAATAACTACAAAATACATAAAATAACTGGGAGTCTATAGGTAGAGCCAAGACGTCAAAGTAGCAGAAAGAATTACAGCAAACTCTGTCCCACCCTGGACATAACTCCACCAAACAGATCTAGAAGACACCCCAAACTGAGTCTTTATCTGGAAATTCAAGAAAAAATGTCACAGTGAGTCATTTTTTACAGCCCAGATCAGTGTAGGAAGTCAGACAGGGAGATCTGCAAACACTAGGATCTAGATCTAGCTAAGAAGGGTAACTTGCAGCATTCCAGCCCTGTGAGAGGCTGTGCACCAGGGCAAGAAGTGGTCCCAAACCCAGCAGAAAGGGGACTAAATTTTTTCAGGGAGCAGGAATAGTTGCAACTTGGTGGCTTTGTTACTCACTACCCCCAGTTCTGGGTTAAAGATCCAGGGAGGACAGATATGGAGACCTGTGCCTAAAAGTGGCATTTCAGGGTAAGGAGTGGTCATGGATCCTATGCCTTGTACCAAGGCCAGAGCAAGTTTAGAATCAAGCAGTACTGTGTGACTCACACCCCGGCAGCTGAGTGGGGCGTCAGTTGTCAGTTTGAGTTTCTAATCCAGTCTTAAGTGTTCAGTGGAATAACTAGGAAAGGAAGTCCAGACCAAAGGGGAGTTCTCCGAACTGGAAGGACTTTCCAGCCGACTGGTAGTGGCTGAGTCCATCAGCAATCCAATGGAACCCCACCCTGAACAATTCTACAATCATTGCTCCGACCCAAACCTAGGTCAGTAACTCTCAGAGCTCAAATCAAGGGGGCAGTGCTCAGGCTTGGTCCTAGATTAGGCCACTTTAGAAGCACTGAAAGCTTATAGGTCTCCAGCCAGAGCAGTTCCTAAGATCCTGGCACAACATAACATTCAGTACTATTCAATCCAAGAAAGTCGCAGCAAAACCAGCCCAGACGAGGGATAAAAGTGATCATATAAAGAAAACAAATAATTTTGACTACTCAAAAAGCTTTTATATAAACAAAATCAATGCATTTAAGAAAAGAAGGAGAACTATCAATTGGAAAATTCATCACATGACATGAACAAACAACTCTGAACTGAAAACCATCATATGAAAGGTTGCTTTAGACCTAAAGTTAAGAGAATGCAAATGAAAACAACTCTTAGGTTTCCCATCATATCTATCAAACTAGAACTCATGATTAAAGATGGAAATAGTAATATTATAGGACTTAAAGACAATAGGCACACTAATACTGTTGTTGAAGGTATAAAGTGGTACCATCATTCTGGAGAACGATAGATAGAGGGAACTAAAACGTCTATATACACCTTGACCCAGAGATTCCAGTGCTAGGCATGTACTCTAAAGGCAGAAAAGTTCCATATGTACCAAATTTTCATAAAAGCACAGTGTGTGTGTGTGTGTGTGTGTGTCTGTGTCTGTGTCTATGTGTGTGTGTATGTGTGTATAGTAGCAAAGATCTGGAAACAAAGTGTGGGTGTCCACTAACTAGGAAATATTTGTAAAAATTGTGGTATGTGAATATAATGGAACGTTGTCTTACAATAAATAATAAATGACAACTATGAAAAAATCTGTAATATAGAAAGACTTATATGAGTCAATTCAAAGGTGATACAAGCAGAATCAAGAGAACAATATACAAAATGAACACATAGTGTAAACTGAAATTTAAAAAAAGCTAGCATTTATAGCACTTATACAAGTGTTATCAATTGTTGTTCTTCAGTCTTTCAGTCCTGTCCAACTCTTTGTGGCCCCACAGACCAAAGCATACCAGGCCTTTCCATCCCACTATCTTCCAAAATCTGTCCAAGCTCATGGTTCATTGTTTCTATGACACTATCTACCCATCTCATCCTCCGCTGTCCCCTTCTCTTTTTACCTTCAATCTTTCCCAACATCGAGGTCTTTTCTGATGAGTCCTGTCTTCTCGTTAGGTGGCCGAAGGATTTAAGCTTCAGCTTCAGTATTTGACCTTCCAGTGAATAGTCTCAGTAGATTTCTTTAAGTGATGTCTGACTCCTTGTGAACCCACCCTCAAATCAGTCACGGGAACAGAAAAAGAAACATCTCATTATGACCTACAGACTGCTACTTTGACAAACAATTTCTTACTTTCATTTATTTTTATTTTTTGAGGTATTGGTAATATGTAGAAATGCTAATAATTTTTTTTTAGGCAATTGGGGTTAAGTGACTTGTCCAGGGTCACACAGCTAGTAAGTGTCAAGTGTCCGGTCTGAGGTTGCATTTGAACTCGGGTCCTCCTGACTTCAGGGCCAGTGCTCTATGCACTGTACCGCCTAGCTGCCCTAATTTCTTAATTTTAGAGGGGATAAGCATGACTGGCAGGTTTCCTGCCTTCCTGGTTATGTTATGCTTCTTCAGCTGTGATCTCTCTCTTCTAGGTTTCCATTATTTGTCTGCATCTATGAAATATGCTGTGACGGAAAATCAGTTAATGATTTCATCTGTTGCCTGCAGACTCATCCAGGACATGAAGGTCTTACAAAAGACTAGGATAATTCCATCCGTTCTAATCATTAATAAAGGGAGATAAGGCCTGAGGATTTCCAATTTTTTTTTTTGCAAGGCAGTCGGGGTTAAGTGACTTGCCCAGGGTCACACAGCTAGTAAGTGTCAAGTGTCTGAGGCCAAATTTAGAATATCTGACTTTTAAGATAACTCTAGAAAAATACCTTTTTCCTCAGTCAGGAGAAAACATCTAAGAATATAACCTTCCAGAAAAGAGGAGGCTTTCCCTTAACTAACCGATCAATTTGGGAAGCATTTATTAAATGCTTACTTCATGTTAGACACTGGACTAGGTACTTACATTCTAAAGGGAGAAACAACAACAACACAATAATAATTTGTTGTGTAGTCATTTTTTGGTCATACTATCTTATATATAATGATAATATATAGTATATAATATATATTATAAAAATTATGCTAATTTTTTGTCATATCCAACTCTTTGTGACCCCATTTGGGTTTTCTTGGCAAAGATACTGGAGTGGTTTGCCATTTCCTTCTCCAGCTCATTTTACAGGTGAGGAAACTGAGGCAAATAGGGTCAAGCAACTTGTCCAGGGTCACACATTTAGTAAGTGTCTGAGGCCAGATTTGAACTGAGGAAAAGGAGTCTCCCTGACCCCAAACCCAGCATGTTCTAACCACTGAGCCATTTAATTGCCCAATAATAATAGCTGGCATTAATATATAGGGCTCACTTTACAAGTAATATCTCATTTTATCCTCACAACAACCCTGGGAATTGGGTACTATTATTATCGCCACTTACAAATGTTTGCAAATGAGGAAAATGAGGCAGTTCACTTGCCCAAAATCATATAAGCTGGTAAGTATTGGAGGTCAGATTTGAAACTCAGTTCTTCCTGACTCCAGGTCTAGAACTTGATATCATCTAGCTACCTCTAAACATAAATATTAATAGGTACATAACTTTAGATAGGCAAGAGCATCTCTGGAATTGGGAAAGGCTTTTGCAAAAGGGTGGCATTTGAGCTGAGCCTTAAAGAAAAGAGCTTTAGCTCTTAGAAGGCCATTTTGATGTTTGTCCTAGGAAATATCTTTTCTGACAAACCCCAGACCCTCTCTTGCCAACTGAACAGCAGTAGCTGCAGCTGCAGTGGTAAAGAAAGATCCTGCGGTGGGGGAAGAGAAGTCAGAATGAAGATGCCACTAAGTGTGCATAATGCTGATTACCCTGGCCCTCACCACCTGGAGGCCAGGTATGTTACATTTCTATTCTTCCCCCAGGATTCTCAGCTACACTTAAGGGGATTTGGGGGTGTCTAGGCTCTCTGCAAATGGCTCCAGCCTCCACCGATGATGTTCTTCCCATTGTTAGGGGTGCAGACTCCCTTGCAGGCCAATTCCATTAGCCACTAACAGATACATTTTTAAACAGTATATATATAATCACATACAAATTTATTGCCCCCAACCCAGGAGAGGCATAATCCCTTTCCCCCTGTGCACCACCCCAGTCTCTGGGGAGGGGAAAGGGATTAGGTTAACAATTTAGCTCAATTGCTATGGAGCACAATCCCACCTCCAAGTCCAACTCCACCCCACCCACCCACCTTAGACTCATCCTAGGCACCCTGGCTTCTAAGGGCTTCCATGCCAGGCTATCTGCACCACCCCACTTACAGACTTGGTGTCAAAGTCACCTCTGCTCAAATGCCGGATCCCATAAGTATCCCCCTGGCACCTGAAACTGAGGACCAACAACACAGAATAGAAATAAACACCCAACACCCCCTGACCCATTCCAAAGAGCTTCTGGATTGCAGAGTTTGGAGCAAAGCTGGAGCCAAAAGGAGGACTGAGTTGTGGTAGATGTGGAAGATAGCAAGGAGAGTGATAGGCATTACAGACATCTCAGAACAGAGGACCCAGACTGAGGGAAGTCCTAAGAGGAGAAACCATGTGGACCATGTGGACTGTAGGGGCTATTTCAATGCTTAAAATGAGCTAGTTATTATAATAGGGTGTGACAACTATATTAACTATTAAAGCATTTAATGCTGTTTTAAAACCATATTGAAAAGAAAACTAAAAACCACAAATCTGAATGTCCAAAGGTAATCAATGCACATGTTAAAAGGTAATATAAAGTAATATAGCATAATCTTAGAATAAGGTAGGAATAAAAAAAATCTGGCATCTGTTCTTATAACCACCTCAGAATCTTACAAGTTCCTCCTCTGCTCTCTTTCGAGTTACTAGTAGTGAGGATGACCCAACCTCCTGGGGTAATTGTGAACTCTGCCATAGATGAACATTATGCTCTCCCCCCACTGCTAGTTCAATGCATAGGAACCATGGGTATCTCCTATGACAGCAGAATATTACCTTGTAACCGAGGCTGCTAAAGAAATAGCCACTTAATGGGGTGAGGAGGGAGTAATTTTGCACTTTAAAAGAGAATTGAAAAGGCTAAGCACCGTCCAAAGCAACAAAGCCATAACCACGAAATTTCAGGCTCCAGGACTGATGGGGACAGATTTTAAAACCCACAAAGAACACAACTTCACTGAAAGTAAGCAGGATGAGGCAGTTGTCCTGAAATAATCACTGATATAGGTGATTTGATCATTCCCACCTGGTTGCTAATTGGGCAATTAAGGTCCCTTTATATGCATTCCCCTTAAGGAAAAATATTTTCTACTTTATTATGGGGAAGTAGGAAGAATCACAGGCAGCAAGGTGGCTCAGTGGATAGTAGTGCCAGGCCTGAAGTCACGAAGACTCCTAAATTCAAATCTGGTGTGACCCTGGGCAAGTTCCTTAATCTTGTTTGCCTCAGTTTCCTCATCTGTGACCTGAAGAAAGAAATGGCAAATCACTCCAGTATCTGTGAGGGACTGTCTGATGTTGGCAGCTGCCAGGTCGGGTACTGTGG